ATTTATGCTCATTACTACCTCAGAATTATGGTGGTTATTCATCCTAGGACTAAGATCTTTTTATTGAGCATGTTAATAAGAAAGCATAGGTATTATTAGTTCACACACAAAATTAGTATGTTAATATTATAATAAACCATTTCAGTATAATTGGCTTTCTTTGTAATCTTATGTATTTTGTGTAATTAAAAACATTGTTCTAAGAAGGGGCCCGCTGGCCTCACCAGATTGCCAAAGCAGTCTGGAGCACATATTCAAATTTATGAACCCCTGTCCTCCTTTTACACAGGAGGAAAGTGAATTCAACCTTAGCCACAGCCACAGTTATAACCAACTGTCAGAGAACGGGGCCACCAATTAGTCTACTGACTCCCAGCCAAGGACTGTGTCATGATGAATAAATGTATATATTTTTTTAAAAGTTACACCATGCCATATGTCTGATACTTGAGGTTTAATTTTTTCCTGATTATATATTATTATTTAAATTTTAACTAACTGTAAAGAGCAAAATAAAAACCAGCCGTAATTTAACCAGTCAAAAATAATAATTATATTAACAACAAAAAGCTGGTTATCAGTGGGTAAGGGGGTAGGGGGAGGATGAAGAGGGTAGAGGAAGTCAAATATATACTGACAGGAGATGAGACTCCGGGTGGTGAGCACACAGTAGAGTATACTGATATATTTTAAAAATGTATTCATGAAACTTATATAATGTTATCACTAGCCAATATTACCCAAATAAATGTAATTAAAAAACAATCATATTCACATCTTGAAGCTTTTACTAGGCATATGTATTATACCAGCATTCAGATACATGTGACAGAAAATCCAGGTATAGTGGGGCCTTGACTTACGAGCGTCCTGACTAACGAGTTTTTCGAGATACGAGCCGTCTCTCGGCTGATTTTTTGCTTTGAGTTGCAAGCTAAAATTCGGGTTACGAGCCAGCTTCAGATACCCCACCTCTAGTTGGCGCAGCGAACGTCACAGTGAACACCACAACATCAGCCCAGCATCACGTGTCTCACCAGCTTCAGATACCCCACCACTAGTTGGCACAGCTAACGTCACAGTGAACGCCACATCAGCCTAGCATCACGTGTCTCACTTGTTCACTTTTGGATTTGACATAGTAGTAATCTGAGTTATGAGCTCCGTCACAGAATGAATTAAACTCGTAAGTCAAGGCCCCACTGTATAATGGCCCCCAAAATAGGGGTTTATTATTATTATTATTATTATTATTATTAAATAAGAAATCCAGAAATAGGCAGTGCTAGCTATCATTGGCCCAGCAACTTCACAGTGCCAAAGTCAACATCTTTGCAATTCTCTTGGCCCCTCCCTCACATTTGCAAAATGGTACTACAGCTCTATTTCATTTCCATTCAAGGAAGGCCAGCTTCATCAATTCATTTCCTATATAGCTCTCTATCTCCCAAAACCCCTAGAGATGTCTACTTCTGTCTCATGGACCAGAAAAAAACATTGTAATGTGGCCATCCCACATGGCGAAATGAGTGTTTGGCTTTTCTAGCCTGAGCTGTGGATTGACTCATGGCACTGAACAATGTCTGCCATGTAGATACTTACAAATTTGGGATTATAGGATATAGAGTGCTTTGTATCCTGCTCTCTTGGTCACGTAACATTTATATCAGAAGCATTATGCCAAGTCATTTTTTAGTCTTTGAAAATATGATTCTTCATGGCTACGTAGCATCTTTTTGTTTGGATGCACCATGATTCAATTAACAAATTCTTAACCATTCACTGTTATAAATAAGTTTTGATTGTCATAAGAATTTATTTACAGTGTTCTTGAGATAGAAGTCCTAGAAATTTGAATATTTACTTAGTAAATTTTCCCTCCAGATAAATTGTCCACTTCTATAGCAGTAGCAGTCCTATCTAATAAAGAAGTAATATGCAAATTGACCATCACTCCAACACAGAAGATGGCCATCAGGGGATGGCAGTTGGGAGGGACCAGGCCTGCAGGGGAGGGAGGTTGGGGGTGACCGGGCCAGCAGGGGAGGGCAGTTGGGTGACTGGGCCTGCAGGGAGGACAGTTAGGGGTGACTGGGCCAGCAGGGGAGGGCAGTTAGGATCAATTGGGCCGGCAAGGGAGCAGTTAGGCATTGATCAGGCTGACAGGGGAGTGGTTAGGGGGTGATCACGCTGGCAGGCAGAAGCGGTTAGGGGCAATCAGGCAGGCAGACAGGCCAGCAGTTGGGAGCCAGCAGTCCTGGATTATGAGAGGGATGTCCCAGATTGGAGAGGGTGCATACGAGTAATCTGAACCCCTTTGTATGTATGCCACATGGAGACACCTCTAGACTAATACAATTGACCTGAGGTTTTTGCCATTTATATACTTAATAATTATCTGTTTCTTACAGTTTTTCATCTAGTTATGAGGTATAATGTTTAAAGTTATTTAACATTATAAAGGTTATGTAATCTCAAAAGGTTATGTAATTACAGAATCATAATAGAAATGGCTAATATAAAGTACGTCATATAGATGTCTTCACAGAGTCTAAACCAGAGTGAGTTGGAAACACCTAATTGAATGTAAACAAGAAATCAGCTCAATTTCACAAATAAGATAGGTAGTATTACCAAAAACAGAATGTATAGTTCTCTTATCAGCTCTTTTCCTTTTCTTAGGGAAAGTTTGCTTGCAGTTACTCTTGATAATTTGGGGATTATCCATCTAAGAGAAAAGTGAGAGGCACTGATGAAATAAAAACTACAAATGACTGTAGTGTAAGAAGAATCTTCACCCTCACTGAAATCAGAGGAATGACATTCCAAGATAAAAATCTATGTTAATTTAATAGGTTAAAAAAATTAAAAAGAATACTAATCTCTGGTGTTGGAGAGTGCAGGGAAATGGGCATAAGGACTCTAAGGGTAGGAGGGTAACTGGTACTTTCTTGCCCCACGCAATTTGGCATAAGGCACCCAAATGCACGGATCCTTTCACCAGGCATTCATGTACAAAGAAGTGTATGTAAAGTGCTTATCAAAGCTTGTATTTTATAATAGTATACTAGGGGAAAGGGCAGGAAATAAAATGTTTGTCAATAGCAGGTCAGTTAAAGCAATACTCTTTAGCCATTAAAAGTACTTCTATTTTTATACTTATTGTGAAATAATTAGGTTACAAAAGAGTAGTGTAAAATGTTATATATATGACCTATATATATTGTGTATAATATATATAGTGTGTGTGTGTGTGTGTGTGTGTGTGTGTGTGTGTATGTTCTAATATACTTTAATCTTGAAGGTGGGAGGAATAAGGTATCTGGAGAAAGCCTGGCCCTGATTCTGGATAAGCAAAGGGAAGCACTCAATAGAAGACCCTGCAGTAAATAAAAGTGATATGACAAGGGTCACTTAGAATATATTGGAATGTGTCTTTTTCCTATTTTTTCATTGTTGGAGGGGTAATGGTTAACAGCTTACTTTTATACTTAGGGGGGGAATTACATGAATTAAAAAATGAAGAGAACCCAGCAATGGCAGTAAAGGGGTTGCAGGCCTATTCTGAATGTGACAGCTGACCATGCCAAGGGTTTTCTGTAACCTAAATACAGGGCTTTGCTTCATGGCTTCATCTAAACATTTAAATAGTGGGATTGTGAAGTGGAGAATCAGGGAGTTTTTGCTTACAGGAATTTACAGAATTTGGCTGATTGTGGTTACATTTTCCAGTTAGCAGTGTGATTTATGGATTTAATCAATGGAAAATGTTGTCACTAAGTTAGCATCTGAATGTCTTCCCAGAAGAAATTGAATAAAAGTTCACAGTAGAGGCGACCCCATTTGGGGTGACTTTTATGTAAGTTGACTTCTCTAAAATGGGCAGAATATTAGACTAGAAAAGAGGAAACTACTTCTCTTAAAATAATGGGTTTTTGTGGTTGCTATTGTTATAATTTTTAAAAATATATATTTTTATTGATTTTTTTTACAGAGAGGAAGGGAGAGGGATGGGGAGTCAGAAACATCTATGAGAGAGAAACATTGATCAGCTGCCTCCTGCATACTCCCCACTGGGGATGTGCCTACAACAAAGGTACATGCCCTTGACCAGAATCGAACCAGGGACCCTTCAGTCCGCAGGCTGACGCTCTATCCACCGAGCCAAACCAGTTAGGCCTAATTTTTTAGCTCACAATCAAATAAAGTTGATGTAGTTGTCAGATTCAAAAAATTTTAATTGCATTTCTCTCAAATTTGCTTATTTGCCAAGGGATGTAAGTCATATAGCAGATTAAAGGCAACATGTGATTCTGTGTGGCTTGAGGGTAGGTAACCTGGCCTCAGTAAAGATAAAGGATACTACAGATCACTGACATGGCACACATTAGCGTTTAGCATCAGACTGTCTGTCCCATCCCCCAGTCTTGTTTTTCAAATTCATTGACTTGTTTAACATGGCATTTACCTGGTTTGTTCTTTTATATACTCAGCTTAAAAAATTTTTTGTTGAGGAAGGAATATGCTGTATTATCTTCACTGATTTTTTCATCGCTTCTTGGCCTTTTGGCTAAGAACAAATGTAGTATCTGTTCTTATCAGTTTAATATCTTCACTGATTTTTACTTCAGGAATTAAAAGCTATCTAATCTTTATTCCAAAGTAAGATAAGACATTGATCTTTTACTGCAGTCAGTATGTCACCTCCTGGTCTGTATGAGACAGGCTTTTCCATTTTCACTAATATCTGTTTCCTGAAGGAAATGAATTTTAGTAAGAGGAACAGCTCCCAAAAGTGGGCAGAAAACTGGTTATTAGCTTTTCTATACCCTCATCAACAATCTAGGGTGAATGCTCCCTTGTCTGTAC